TGAAATAAGAAAAGTATGCATATAATGGAAGGTTCATTACTGTGATATTAGTGGCCAAATCAGGTGCCAGGAAAGTGGCGCCTCTTTCTTCTTATGCCATCCAGTTCCTGGAGAATTTTCACCAGTGCTCCTTCTGAATCCACGGGGGTGAAAAGAATTATCATGCTCTCCAGCAATCCCACTTTGGGGTTTATATCCAGAAATGAAAACAAGATACTGAAAAGATATTTGCACTCCCATATTCATAGCAGTATTACTCACAATAGCCAAGATACAGAATCAATCTAAGTGTTCATCAATGGATGAGTGGATAAAGATATGGCATATATATATATATATGCCATACATATATGCATATATAGATACATACATATATACACTTACTACATTGTGTGTGTATTATACACTTCAAATTTTTTAAGAATCTAGATTTAAAATGTCCTCATCACAAAAAAGAAATGATAATGATAATCACATGACAGGATAGAGGTGTTTGCTAATGCTATATTGGTAACCATATTGCAATAGTAAGTGGAGCAAATCAACACATTTACACCTCATACTTACATACCATTATATGTCAATTATATCTCAATTTCTTAAAAAAAGAAAAGTCAAGGTCACCTATCACCATCAAGTCCTAAAACCAGGAAGTTATCTGCCTTAGAAGTGATTCTGATCAAAACCAGTGGCTTCCATGTCCTGTACGGAGCCTTTCCTGACTCTCCTGGATACACATGACCCCCTTTGTGTCACCATTGTACCCCGTATAAACCACTGTCAGGACACTATTGACACCTGTCTCATGTATCTGTGTACCTGTCTGTTCCCTTTGGGCTTGCCAGGTGGCTCAGTGGAAAAGAGTCTGCCTGCCAATGTAGGAGATGTGCATTTGATCCATGGGTTGGGAAGATCCCCTGAAGAAGCAAATGGCAACCCACTCCAGTATTCTTGCCTGAGAAATCCTACGGACAGAGGAGCCTGGTGGGCTACTGTCCATGGGGCCGCAAAGAGATGGACACGACTGAGCGACTAAACAACAACGGTTCCCTCTACTGGACCACAGAAAAACTATGGCATTTCTTTCTAGCACTTCACACAGTATCTAGCTCACAGTCAAGGCCTAACATGTTTGTCGATATGGTCACAGAAAGAAAACGCAGAGTTTAGCACCAGCACACTCTGCAGATAACTAGAAAACAGAAACTGCAGAATGTAACAAGCTAGAGTCATCCATTTTGAGCAAAAGTCTCAACCCCACAGGAGCCAGGGCTGCAAAACAGAATTTTTAACAGCAAGAGTGACCTTGGGAGATCTCTCTCTTCCAGGCTTTCATGTTGTAATCACAGTGATTAGATTATCTTTGGCACCAAAGACAGGGTCACTTTAATTGTTGTTGTTCAATCTTTTGTCAATAATCAGAAATTATCGCCAGGTTATTTAAGAGTTTAGAAACTGTAATCCCGTGTGAAATTTGGCCATACAACCTGTGCTTGTCCTCTGAATTGCCAAATGTGACACAGTCAAAACGCATATTCCTTTATCATTTTCCTTGTACAATAAGAAAATTGGCAAAATATATTATTTGCTTTTAACTGGAAAAGCATTCCATTTTCCAGATGCTGGCACTTCAGGAAATATAACTCTCTTGCTGAAATTTTTAGAAGGGATCACGTTATCCTACATCTTACACTCCTGGTCAAGCTGTCATCACTACCGATGTATTTCCATAACTTCCTACATATGCCCATTTCCTTGAGAGAGGAGAAGCAGAATGATATTAACTCTCCTAGTGTTTCACAGAGATTGGAATTTTTATAGGTGAAGTCTCAGATCGTCAAAATGGAAGCATGAAAGTCTGCTCTATGTAAAATACTACCTTTAATGTAAACAACATTTTTTTTCAGAACCATAAATACTTCATCAACCTTTAGGCACTATTTTTTTCTTTTTTCTTTACTCTATCTTTTTTTTTTAATCTTTTTATTTTATATTGTAGTATAACCAATTAACAATGTTGTGACAGTTTCATGTGAACAACAAGGGGACTCAGCCATACATATACATGTATCCATTCTCCCTCAGACTCCCCTCCCATCCAGGCTGCCACGTAACATTGAGCAGAGTTCCATGTGCTATACAGTAAGCCCCTGTTGGTTATCCATTTTAAATATAGCAGTAGGCACGTTTTTTTTTTCCAACAGTAACATAGCATTCATGGACAAGAAATAAAGGCAAGATTGCTTCTAGATAAATTTAGCTTGGGAATAAGAAAAATGTGATTTAATAGAGGAAACCTTCGGCTAAATTGATGACAGAGAATGATATGGGAATTGGGAAACCCACAGCCACTGAGTCTTCCTTTAAACAGAGGTTTTGTAGAATACATGCTAGTTCGTGTCCTAACAGAAATGTACTTTTCCATCCCAACTGGGTTTCTCCACTCAGGCCCCCTTCCCCCTAATGAGCTGGAGCTGTGCGCACCTTAAAGCAGAGCAACACGTCCTGAAAAGCTGACATTTCATTCTTAATTGAAATCAAACAGAAATACACCCACTAGGGAACAAGAGCGTAAAGCAGGCTTTTGATAGATAGTCACAGGGAAGAGACTAAAATACTTTTCTCCATCAAACGGAGTCCACTGCTGAAAGCTGCCAGTCCTCTTGCCTGAATCTGAGATTATCTCCAGGATTATATTTGGTGAAAAGAACAGATCTTATGAAGGTGGAATGAGAAATCACATTTGGATGGACACATTTTTTAAAAAAAAGGAAAAACAGCTCTTTGCTTCTTTAAGGAAAAAAAAAAGCAATCTTATGAATACAGAGTTCAAGGAAAAACTGTTTAATTTCACTGCAAAAACAAAGATAATGAAAGCAAAAGAGCTCATATCATCAACAAAAATATCTGCGAAAATAAATTTAAAATACATGCTTTGGGAGATAAGATAAACTTACATTACTAGGACTAAAATCCCCCCAATAGTGGTGCAAATGTATTTTAAAAACGGGTTTACTGAAATACCGATAGCAGCAATAACTTTCGAAGTTGTAGTTTAAGTAGAAGCAATAATACAAATGGAGACTAACATTTGTGTATCTGTATATGGATTATAAAATACTTTATAAGAATTTTACTCTGAAATCCCCAACAATATTATGAAAACAAACTTTCAGAAGACAGCATTCTCCAAAAAGCAGACTTCAAATATAAAAAGCCATAATTTTCATGAAAACACTTATCTTTATGGTCAAAAGTTCTAGAAACATTCTGCAGTACTTTGTGCACAAAGCTGGCTTTCCTATATGAGTCATTTCAAGACATCAATGAGTGGGGACTGGTACTGGGGTTACCCAGTTTACGAATCCGCTTTACTCAAGACTACGCATTCAAATGTTAATGTTGACCCAAAGCGTTCTCACTGAAACACCCAGAATACTGTTTCACCAAGTATCTAGGTACCCCATGGCCCAGCCAAGTTGACACGTTAAAAAGTGAAACGTCACAAGGAGGAAGAGACAAGAGACACCAGATTTCTCTCTCTCTGCCCGCCCCTGCCTCCCGCACAGAAAAAAAGTCATATGAGGATGCAGTGGAAAGGCGGTTGCCCACAAGCCAGGAAGAGAGGTCTCACCAGACACCAACCCTGATGGAGCCTTGATTTTGGCGTTTAGGGTTGTAAAGTTAGACGGTGGTGACGGCTGCACAATTCTATGAGCACTCTAAAATGCACCGAATACTTTAAATGTGTGAACGTGTGGTATGTGAATTATATTTCAGTAAAGGTACTCAATGCATCCCTGGTAGCTCAATCGGTAAAGAATCCAACTGCAATGCAGGGGACCGCCTGCAGCACAGGAGACCCAGGTTCGATCCCTGGGTCAGGAAGATCCCCTGGAGAAAGAAATGGCAACCCACTCCAGTGTTCTTGCCTGGAAAACCCCAATGGACAGATAGCGACTAAACCACAAAGGTATTCAAAATGAAGAACCATAAGCCATCCATCCCTCAACACCCCCTCCCCAAAGGAGAACAGGACTTAGGGAGTCTGCACTGTAACTCCCCCACTGGGACTTGCCCAAGGCTCCTTTCAATCACTACTTGCACACGGAGATCACTGAGGCTCCGGGAACCTCTGGGTCAGAAGAAACAGGGGTAGAGCAGTCAGCGGTGCCCACGCCTGGACTTTCTGGAAGACTCGGCCCCATGGAGCTGGGACCCCTACCCCTGAGAAGGGATGCTGCCTGGAGATGCTCAGAGGGTATGTTCCACATGGGACCCAGACCGCTCAGGCAGAGCGCTGCTCAGCTGGGGCTGGTACCACTGAAGGAGTCCATAAAGATGGTTCTGAATGCCAATAAGAAGCTGAGACTGGAACCAACCATCACTGCCTCAGTGAAGGGCTGCAACCGAGGGGCTCTGACAGGAACAGGAAGTAAAGAGCAAAAAGGAAGTCTCTGCCTCACTCCAGCCTTCTCAGCTCTGGCACGACTCCAGCAGGAGTGGCCTTGGCCAGCAGGAGAAACATAGTTTCCAGAGAGCAAGCTCTAGTCTCTCAGAGCAGAAAAAGGAGAGGTGCTGTTCTGTTAACTCTCCAGCAGAACCTAAGCTCCTTCCGGACTCTGACTAGGACTTACCGAACTTTGTGAGTTCCTTGAGTGGTGTCTGAAAAAAAAAAAAAAAAAGTAGTAAGAATTTGAACTCTCAGACTGTGGTGCTGGAGAAGACTCTTGAGAGTCCCTGGGACAGCAAGGAGATCAAACCGGTCCATCCTAAAGGAAATCAACCCTGACTATTCATTGGGAGGATTGATGCTGAAGCTCCAACACTTTGGCCACCTGATGCGAAGAACCGACTCGCTGGAAAAGACCCTGATGCTGGGAAAGATTGAAGGCAGGAGAGAGGGAAGACAAAGGATGGTGGTTGGATGGCATCACTGACTCAATGAATACGAGTTAGAGCAAACTCCAGGAGACGATGAAAGACAGGGAGTCTTGGCGAGCTGCAGTCCATGGCGTCACAAAGAGTCGGACACAACTTGGCAACTGAACAACATCAACAAGAATTTGAAGTAAGAGAAAGGATAAAGGGAAGGAAGAGTGAAAAGAAGGTGATAAAGGGTGTGAAGAAATAAAGAGCAGACAAGTCAATCAGGAGATGAGGCGGGAAAAGATCTGAGCACAGGGACGCTGAAGCAGGGACTGAGGAAGTAGATGGCTCTCTGAGGAGGTGGGTGTGGCTCTCTGAGGAGGTGGGTGTGGCTCTTTGAGGAGGTGAGTGGCTCTCTGAGGAGGTGGGTGTGGCTCTCTGAGGAGGTGAGTGGCTCTCTGAGGAGGTGGGTGTGGCTCTCTGAGGAGGTGGGTGGCTCTCTGAGGAGGTGGGTGTGGCTCTGAGGAGGTGGGTGTGGCTCTGAGGTGGGTGTGGCTCTCTGAGGAGGTGGGTGTGGCTCTCTGAGGAAGTGGGTGTGGCGCTCTGAAGAGGTGGGTGGGGCTTTCTAAGGTGCGTGGGGGTCTCTGAGGAGGTGGGTGGGGCTCTCTGAGGAAGTGGGTGGCAGGTGGAAGGAAGCACGGGAGAACACAGCTGGAGGGGAGCCATGCATGGTGGACAAGTTGGTTTGTTGGCTTGTTTTCAGAATGTGGAAACTTGCACAGATTTATAGGCTGAGTGAAAGAAGAGAAGGAAAGCTTGAATTTTCAAGACAAAGGAGAGGTAAGTGATGGATAAACACAGCTGTTATTTTTCATTTGAGTTTTTCCAATAAACCTGGTGACCTTGAGCGACTTCTCAAGCTACCTGAGATACAGGTTTTATGTTCTTCAGAGTTGATCAAAATAATATGGGTTATATTTTAAGTTCTGAAGCCCAGATGTCTTCATTCTTAAATAACATGTCGGTATGTGCTGATATCCTGGGGGCCACCAGGCATTTAGGGAGATGCCCAGGGGGGGAAATGCTGCCATTTATGAGATTCATCCCTGAGATGACAAATAATTTAACTTGTAGCAAAAACCACTGATTCTTCATAGAGGTTTCTTCACATACAATAACCTCTGCAAATTTTGCCTACAGAATTTTGAGGAAAATCAAGAGTGCCAATTAACTCAAAAAATCATAAAACTAATGACACAAATAATGACTATTCATAAACAGAAAACAAAACTGAAAACCCCTTTATTCCTGACTCTATCTGATACTCCATTAGAATTGCACCAAATTAATATCTAAGTTACCCCATGAAAGCAATTTAATGGATCTTTTGGATAATTCTAATAAAAATAAGAAATCGATTATCTCAGTCTCAAATTTGCCACAATTAAAGGGAAACTCTCTTTTGAATTGGACTGTTTCTCCCTAAAGAATCTTCTTTTATAAAGAAGAATATTGCAATATGCTCTGAATAGATGTTTAAAATCTCTCTCATAAGTTCTGGAAATCTCTCTCATTGAAACAGTCCCAGCTTGACAGCCCTGCAATAACCATTAAATATTAAAATAACATTAAAGAGCAACTGCTCAGCTCATGGATTTAGCTGCAAAACTCCTTTTCACACTAATGGGACTCACATTGCTAAATCCCCATGTGCTGTACAGAAAATTTACCCCCAAGGATCCAATGATCAGACACAGTCAAGAAAATGATGAATGCACTTTCAAAAAAATAATCGATCTGCTACCAAACAAATTATGATTATTCATGGAATTTCAATCACATAATCATTCTAAAAGTCAGACTAACATTCAACAGCATCCAATTTTGCATTCATAAAATATATTGATACATTTGTGATGTGATAAAATTCATATTTCTACTGCAAGATAATTTGGATGGTGTAAAGATATTTATAAAGTTATTAAAAAAAAAACTCTCATTTACAAAAATCGCTTAAAGCCAAAAACTAATTCTAAATATTTTTTATGTGTACTATTTCTGTAGACATTATTACCATAGTGCTTAAAATTAAGGATTGTTTTCTCTTGTTATTGATATACATTTAATGTAAAAGGAAAAAAGATATTGTAAGTAACTAATATTGCTAATATTTATAGCTTTATGGAGATCTCAGTGTCTCCAAATTACACCTTTTAAGAAATTATAGAAATTTTGACATAGTTGTACATCCGAAATATAACTATTCATGTTAACTATCCAGGAGGCAGTTACAAACTGTGAAAAAACAGTATGTTTAATGGAATGTATTCTAGACTAAACTTTAGTTTACCCCAAATTTAGCTTTCCCAAAGGTCAAACTAAGACAAATCACTTAAATGCTCAACACCACAACTTTTTAGCTATGAAATGAAAATGGACCTGGGGATGTCTATGTCTGTCAGTTCATGATTTTTTTGTGACAGGTAATTTGATTTATATTGAGCCTTGTTCCAAAATTTCCCCTGACCCTCAGCTCCATCCAAACACACACACATATACACACATGTACACACAAGTATAAGCATAAAGAGGAGAAAGAAATTTTTAAACTTTTTATAGGACTGTGGTACAAATACATCTATAATAGTCTGTGAAATTTCAATTTGTTAATGTCAAAGTATTTACCAGCATTGAAAGAAGCCTAGAGAATAAGAAAGAGGGGTAGCACTGTTTCATGGCAAAAGCACCTAGATGGAAAATTTGGAGACCTGATTGTATCACTAACAAATTCTGTGATATTGGACAGATCACTTTATATCTGCAAATTGCAGTTTATTTCTTTTTATGATAAAGATTCTCAACAAACTAGGTATAGAAGGAATTTGCCTCTACATAATAAGGACCACATATTAAAAACCCACAGCAAACATGACACTCAATGGTGAAAAACTGAAAGCTTTTCCCATAAGATCAGGAATAAGAAAAGAAAGCCCCTTCTTTCCACTTATTTAACATAGTACTGAAAGTTCTAGCCAGGGTAATTAGGCAAGAAAAAGAAATAAAAGATGTACAAATCAGAAAGAAGTAAAATTATCCTTGCTTGCAGATGACATGATTTTATTATTATTTATTCAGTAAAGCCCTAAAGACACCACATAAGAAACTATTAAAACTAATAAAAGAATTCAGTGAAATGGCAGGATATATAATCAACCTGCAAAAATCAGTTGTATTTCCATGCACTGCTAGCAATGTATTATCTGAAAGAGAAACTGAGAAGACAATTCCACTTACAATAGCATCAGAAAGAATAAAATACTTAGGAATACATTTAATCGAGGAGGTTAAAGACTTATACACTGAAAATTACAAACCACTGATGAAAGAAAATTTAAAGACACAAATACATAGAAAGACATCCCAAGTTAATAGTCATACAGAACCACAAAAGGGCCAGAATAACCAAAGCAATCTTGAAAAAGAAGAGCAAAGCTGGAGGCATCACACTGTCTGATTTTAAAACACGTTTCAAAGCTACAGTAATTAAAATAGCATGACAGTGGAATAAAAACAAATATATAGACCAACAGAGAGCCCAGAAGTAAACCCATGCACATACAGTCAACTGATCTTCAACAAGGATGCCAAGAATACACAACAGGAAAAGGATAGTCTTTTCAACAAATGGTATTGGGAAATCTAAATATCCACACACAAAATTACGAAATTGAGCCCTTTTCTTATACCATATATAAAAATCAGCTTAAAGTATATAAAAAATTTAAACATAAAGCCTGGAACTAAAAATCCTAGAAGAAAGCGTAGGAGAAAATCTTCTTGACATAGGTCTTAGAAATGACAAAAGCACAAGCAAAAATAAATAAATAAATAAACAAGTGGGACTACATCAAACTGTAAAGCTTCTGCACAGCAAAGGAAATAACAGAGTCAAAGGGCAACCTATGAAATGAGGGAGAATATTTGCAAACCATGGATCTGAAAAGGAGCAAATATTTATAATGAATACCTGCAACTCAATAGCAAAAAAAAAAAGCAATCTGATTTTAAAATGGATAGAGGTCTTGATTAGACATTTTTCTAAAGACATACTAACAGCCAACAAGTATATGAAAATATGTTCAGCATCACTAATCATCAGGGAAACACAAATCAAAATCACACACTCCAAATCTGTTAGGGGACTGCTATTACCAAACAAAGAAAAGAGTAAGTTTTGTCAAGGATGTAGAAAATTCAGAACACTTGTATACTTGTGGGAATGTAAAATGGTAAACAGTGTGATGGTCCTCAAAAAAAAAAAAAACCTAAAAATAGGACTACCATACGATCCAGCAATCCCACCTCTGGGTGTATATCCAAAAGAACTGAAATCAGGATTTCAAAGAGACAGCTGAACTCCCATGTTCACTACAGTATTATTTGCAATAGCAAAGACATGGAAACAATCTAAGCATCAGCAGATGAATGGATCAAGAAAATGTGGTATATACATGCAATGGGATGTTGGAAAAGAAAGAAATATGCCATATGGGACAACATAGATAAACCTCTAGGACCTTATGCCATGTGAGTAAACCAATTCCAGAAGGACAATACTGCATGAGGAATCTTAAATAGTCAAACTTATAGAAACAGAGAGTAGAATGGCGGTTGCCAGAGGCAAGGGGAAAAGGGAAGTAGTTCTTTAATGGGTTAACATTTCAGTTATGCAATGAACTCGTGGACATAGTGGGGAGGGAATGAGTGGGACGAATGGAGAAAACAGCATCAGTGTATATATACAGTGTCGCGTGTAAAACGGGTAGTTGGTTAGAAGCTGTTGTATAACACAGGGATGCTGACCTAGAGGAGTAGGGACAGAGGGAAGGGAGGGAGGCCCAAGAAGGTGGGGATACATGCATAATTATGGCTGATTTGCGTGGTTGTATGGCAGAGGTCAACATAGAAAAAACAAGAAATAATTTTTAAAAAGGAAAAATAAAGTTACTTCCAGATCTTAAAAAACTGAATAAATTCTAGAGATATGCTGTACAGTATTGTGACTATAGTTAACACACTGAATTGTGTACTTAAAAATGTGTTAAGATGTTAAGTATTCATACCAAAGACCTATATTTCTCAGGAACACAGATTCTAAAACTCCAAATTAAATTTTAATATATTAAACTTAACAATACATAAAATATATACCAAAATATATCTCGATAGAATGGAGTTTATCCCAGAAATTCATGCTGGTATAACATCTGAAAGTCAATCGCTACGTTACCATATGAACACAAAATTTTGTTTAAAACCCATTTGATAATGACCAGTTCCAACATCAACAGTTTTCAAGTTCCAACATTCATTCTCAATGTAAACTCTTAACATACTAGGAACAGAAAGGAACCTCCACAATCTCATAAAAGGTACCTCTTGAAAAGTCAACAGCTATATCATACTTAATGGTGAAAGACTGAATATCTTCCCGTTAAACTCGGGACCAGTAAAAACGTTTGGTTTCACCATTTCTATTCAACACTGAATTTAAGGTTAAAGTCAGGGCACTAAGGAAGTGAAAGGTGACAAGATTGAAAATGAAGTAAAACTGCGCTGATCGCCTATGTAGCAAGTGGGACGGAATCCACCATGGCTCAGGGGTGATCCCCAGACCCATGACTTGGAGTTCAGCCCCATTGGCTGCTGCCATTTGTCCCAGTTTGCTGCCATCTGTATACCAGGCACCTGTGGGAATTTGTTCCACTTTATCTATCCGCCCCAGGGACCCCCCAGGAAGAGAGGTGTCCACAAACTCTACAGGACCTAATGGCGCCCAC